CGGGAATGAATCCGAACACATCTTGTAAACAATCCATGAAGAAGAAGGAAAGGAGGCGGAAGTGCAGTCGCGTAGAGGAAGAGATAATGGCATTTATTAAGTTATAGTGTGCTTAATATTTGGTAAGTCAGGACGATCAGTAAGATGAAGGTTTATGATGAATATAGGTTGGGGTTGACCGTGTTTATTTAGGGTGGAAAGAGAAAGATTGCCGTAAGAAGTGTTCCGAATCAGGAAACATGATGTAATGAGGCAATGCACTCTCTTAAAGGAAGAAAGAAAGAAAGATGTTAGTTATGTAAATATCATTATTTTGATGGACGACCGTATGTTTGATATGTGTACTAGGAATATGTCTTTAACTGTAAACGAAGTCTTATATAAAGGAGCGGTCACATGGAGAAGCGGGAATAGTTTTAATTCCACATAACCTCTTGTTAGAAGATAAATTTTGCATGTAATGGAGAGAATGAATGATAATATTTAAAAAATGATAATAACAAAAAAATCCACTTATTATTTGCTGTGATCTATTACTGAAAGCCTGCAGTCATAGTTCTTGTGCAGGTTCAGGCTAGGTCACTAGCTAACGAGCTTCCACAGCAAATTGTCAAACAGGGTGGCCTAGCCTTTGGTAAATGTAGTTGGAAGTTATTAGATTAGAGCACTAAATTCTTTTCAAACTGATCTCTTTGTGTAGTTTTGAGTTCTTAGTAAGATCCAATGAGTAATCCACCTTGTTTGTCTTATGAAAAAAATACTCATTACTTGAATGATAAAAGAGTTCTACTCATTGCAGTATCTCACCAGTAGGCTCTTGGTAGAGATTTCCAGATTTTTGTGAATTATCTTTAAGGATTTGTAAGGGCTTTTACTATTCTAGAGAAGAAAAAAGTGTAAACACTGTATCAGTTTGTGAAGGAAAATAGTTACAATGACTCTCTTTTTGCTGCTACTAATTTTTCTATGTCTGTCTTACACCTAGACAATGATGGAAACACAAGGAAGAACCATACTGGTTCCTGCTGGAGTGGCAGAGTCAACCAGGAACTCTATTTCCAACAATCCTGAAGAAGAGAAGGAAGTAGTGTTCAATGCCTCAAGTATCCTGAGCAGTCTCCTCACCAAAGATCGAGATACAGGGACCAGCGAATCGAGAACCTATGGAGCTGCAGATCAAGACTTGCAGGACCAGGATGATGAGCTCAGAGCCTTGGGCATCTCTGTGGTTGACCAGCTCTCACTTGAAAGGGATGTAGAGGCAGCGGTAAGTTTGGATCCTTTGCTTTTTTTAATTATTATTATTTTTGTTTGTTTTCGTTTTTGCGGTTTAATTGGTGTTGCCATTATAAAAAAAGATAAATAAATAAAAGATTTACAGATTTACTGAAGTCACTGTAAATATATTTGGGGTTGTAGAAGAAAATTTGTAGAATTTCTATGAATTGTATAGTCTAGGTCATTCATTCTTCCTTCTATCCATCCTTTTCTTCCCACACTCTCTCCAATTCTTTTCTCGTCTCTTTTTCTCCTCTTTTTTTTTTTTTTTTTTTTCTTTTTTTTAATCATCTCTTAAGCCTCCCATCAGAGGCTGCTTTCTCCTAATGTTTTTTTTCTGATATTACAAAAACAATAGGTGGACCAAGCTGTGGCTAAGCATTCTCGGAAGCAGCGTTTCCAGATCCTCAAGAAGGAAATAAAAGATGTCAAGACAGACATAAAGCAGGCAGAGAACAAGCTTCTCAGCTTAAGAGAGAGGCTGGCAGGTAGGCAAGGACAATTTTTTTTGGGAAAAAAAAAAAGTTTGGTTTTGATAGACTTTCCTGGGAAACAAAATGTAGATAGTTTTTCAGTTGGTGCTAGGATAGGAAAGTTAATCTTTATATTTGAAAGTCATTTAAACAGTCCCAAATGCTAAGGGTTACCAAGAGATTGATGAAGGAATATTAATGCATTTGTAAAATTAGTGATGGATAGATTGAACTCTAATTATTTGTCTTCTTTATTGTTTGATATAAATTAATCACTACAGTATGTATTATCAAGCTTCATTAGCTTTTGTTCACTAATTTTCATAATTAATTGCCATGCCTTATTCATTGTTAATCACAGTTAGCATTTATTCACAGTTTATAAATCATAACTGAAGCTCCTAATTATTACAAATTTCTCAACAGGAATGCGTCAGAGGGTTGTTGATCCCAGGCAGGTCATAAGTGTGGAAAAGGAGATATCAAATAAGTCCAACCAACTAAAGACCTTGAGAGCTAGAGAGAAGTCACTGCAGCAGAAGCTCATATCTGCTGAGGCTAATGAGGAAGAGGTATTGTTTTGAGTTTTGGGTGACTATTTTTTATGAGGAGTAGGAAAACAGTCATGTGAAGTTTGTTTGGTGCTCCTCATTGCTGTGAATGAATTTAAGAGAAGAATGAGCCAGAAAGAAAAGGTCGATCAGATATTCTGTCTTCTTTCATAATCAGATATTATATTTGTGTTGATAAATCATTTGCCTTACAGGACTCAATGTTATTTTCATATTTTCAAATATGATATGAAGGTGATATGGTTTGTGTCTTAAGAAAGTAATATTAGATTAGTTTTGAGGAATACAATGTTGATTTGATTAAACAGTCTTGGGTTATATATCTTTACTTTATGGCATCTATTCGAAGAGTGGTTATCTTCAAGTTACAAGCCACTGAAGTTCTATACTTCATCACAGTTAATACAAAAAGTGCCTCATTCATTACCAGCTTGATGACCTGGACCTCGAAGATGGCGAAATTCCTGAGGATGAAGACGATGAAAATGATGGTAGCAGGAAGGAGCCAAAAATGTCAGAACTAGAGAGAGAGAAGCTTATTCGAGAGGGCAAGATGACTCCCTTTGGCACAGTTATGTCCCAGAACTCTTCGAAAACGGTTTCAGTGCTTCGCCCAGCTCATACTCCTATGGAAAAGAGAATGGCTGCAGAGGCCCTTAAGAGGAAGGGGGCAAGTGGAGGGCCATCAAAGGCAGATATGATCAAGTCTGGGGAAATGACACCTTTTGGAACAGTTGTAAAGTCCAAGCCAAAAGATGCAGGACCTTCAAAAATGTGAGCAAAAAAAAAAATGTTTTTCTTATTATTTTGTTATCTTCATTTTTTCCTTATTTTTAACTTTATCCTTTATATAATCTTTTTTCACATAAGGGAAGTGAAGCTTCATGTTACTATTATTGTTATTATATATTATGAATTATTGTACTTGACCTTTTCAGATCTTCAAACAAGCCCAGTGGTGGCATGAGTGACTTTGAAAAATACTTGAAAGACCAGATTGACCGACAGAAACAGCACAGTGAAACAAGCAAAGGCACAAAACGGAAGAAAAACAAAGGGGACCCAAACTATGGCTTTGCAAAGAAGAGGAAGAAAAAGCCCAAGGAATTTATAGGCGAATACTACAGAGATGATGAAGAGGAAAGTGATGAAAATGACAGCACATCACTATCAGCAATTAAGAAGCAAGCCCAAGAAAAGTTTGAAACAGGCATAAAAAAGAAAGAGAAATCATCTAAAAAGGACCCACTCAAGATGAAGGTCCTGCACCCTAAGAAGAAAAGAAATGAGAAGAACCTGGGAAGTGTGACCAGTGAGAGGGAGGCTGACTTGCTCAAAGAGACGCCACAAAGGATATTATCAGAAAAAATAGAATTCAAAGGAGGTGAGTCAGATGACCCATATCATGGGGATGGCAGTGGGAGTGAATACCGGCCATCTGATTCTGATGGGGAAGTATATAGTGATGAATACGTTGATTCCTGTGGTGATGATGAGATACCTGAGTCCAGCAAGAGAAAAAGCATTCGCATTGACAAGAAGGAGAAGAAACAAAGAAAGAGAAAGGATGATGAGTGGTCTGATGACAATGAATTTGACGATGCCCCAAGGCGACAGGGAAGAAAGACAGCCAAGGAGAGAGATGATGGGAATATTGAAGATTACATCCAGAGGATAGAGGCCTGGAAAGAAGAGAGGCTTAGGAAGAAGCAAGCCAAAATCCTGCAAGGGGGAGACCTGGACTCAGAGGAGGAGGAAGAGGAGGGCTATGAAGAGTTTGATGGAGGCTACAGGATTCCCCTAGGGGTGTGGAACAAGCTCTTCAAGTACCAACGTACATGTGTTAAGTGGCTTTGGGAGCTCCACAACCAAGGGTGCGGGGGAATATTGGGTGATGAGATGGGCCTCGGGAAGACCATCCAGATCATATCCTTCCTGATAGGACTTTCATACTCTCGCCTTTCTTGCCGTCGCCAATCATGGAAGGGTCTTGGTCCTGTCCTTATTGTGTGCCCAGCGACTGTGCTTCATCAGTGGGTAAAAGAATTTCACAAGTGGTGGCCACCTTTCAGAGTGGCTGTGCTGCATGAGTCTGGTTGCTTTGCAGGCAAGCGAGGAGCACTCATACACAACATTAATCAGTAAGTTGAAGTACATGCTTTGCAAGTTTTGGTAATTAGATAATTTTCTCTCAGATTCATAGTCTTAGTTATTAGATTTTGTTGTTTGCAGAACATATTAGTATTTTTTCTCAGAAGTGATCTTTCATAACACATTGATTCACTGTATAACCAAACCAATCTTACAGGCACGATGGCATTCTGGTGACCTCTTACACAGGTGTTTTGGCTCAGTTGGAAATATTATTACAATATAATTGGCATTATATCATCCTGGATGAGGGACACAAAATTCGTAACCCAGAAGCCCAGATCACAGTGGCCATGAAGCGTTTTTCCACCCCCCACAGGCTGATTCTCTCAGGTTAGTGTGAATCTGCTTTACCATATAGAGAAGCAATGCATTCAGATTGCCTAGGATCAATGGAAGGAGTGAATATATATTTACAACAATATTTGATAATTGTGTATATATTGTTTTGTTTTTGAATTTGCAGGTTCCCCCATTCAAAATAGCCTAAAGGAACTTTGGTCACTGTTTGACTTCATATTTCCGGGAAAGCTTGGAACATTACCAGTCTTTCTGCAGCAGTTTGCTGTTCCTATAACACAAGGAGGATATGCAAATGCATCAAAACTAGAGGTATATAATATGCAGGGCACCATATATTTGTGTATAGATTGTCATGTTTTTTATCACCATTATCTGAGTTTTTGTGTTACTGAGTATTATTGTTATTTACTATGTTTTTGACTGATTGTGATACACAGGTTCAGACAGCCTTCAAGTGTGCCTCTATGTTGCGAGACACCATTAATCCATACCTACTTCGTCGTATGAAGTGTGATGTGAGGAACCACTTAAAGTTACCGGACAAAAATGAGCAGGTATGAGTGCATTTCATTTTTTTCAAGTCACATGAAGTTTGAAATGTGTATGATTATTATTTAAATAAAGTGTGATGAAGTTGGTATCAACTTCTTAGATAATGAGAGTTTCCATGAATAGAGTTGCATTTGCAAAACATGAGATTTTAGTTTGTGACAACAGCTTTTGATAGTGGCCCAAAATATCCCAGACCAATCTGCCAGGTTTCATCAAATAAGGCAAGAGTTTTTGTTATCTTCCTTTACTCAACAAGCTATTGTTGCTCACCCTTTACCTTGATTATAAGATTTGATTAAGTAGTGTAGGAGCTCTGGCAAGAAAAAGTTGGTTGAAAATATAGTAATCATGCCTGTCTAGTGTCTTTGCAATTTGTAATGAAATCAAACTTAACCAAGACACATTATGAAACCAAGTTAGTGCCACAGAATTTCAGAAGAAAAGTCTTAGTAGGAATACAATATTTATGAGATTTTGATTAGTAGTTCAGGAGATATGGTAGGTATGATCTGCCATGAGTGTACTTTTTAACTACCCTTACTCAGCAAGAAAAGGTTTCTCAATTGATGCAGCAACAAAACAACACTGCGCTGTTCCAGAAGTATAGCACTATATAGCAATGTCTTATTTTTAAAATTTGGATTGGTAATTTAGAAGTTATGTGAAGTATGATTTGAGTAAAAATGTTGCTACATGTAAACTAACCCATAATTTTTAAAAAGGTGCTCTTCTGTGATCTAACTGAGGCCCAAAGGCAAGTCTATCGATCGTACATTGATGGGGACCAAGTAAAGTGCATCTTAGGAGGAAGAATGAAGGTAGGTCAACATATTCTTTAGTTTAGTTGTAGACTTGGTGTCAGTATTTCCCATATTGATGGACATTGTTAACCCATTCGTCCCGGGTGTCACATATATGAGACACAGGGAAAAAATAAACAGTTTCGGGCTGCCCGCCAGTGCGATGCTGTCTTGGAGCCGTGCTCCGCGGCAAATTTTCCGGGGAAGCTCCGCCCGCCGATTTTGTAGCTTCCCGGATTTTTTAAATTTTGGCTACAAAATGTACCCCGGCGCGGGTGGGTTAATGTCTTAAAATTCTGTCTTTTAGCAAACAAAATTCAGTGTTTTCTCATGTGTGGTTACAGGTATTTGTTGGTTTGATAGCTCTACGAAAGATATGCAACCACCCAGATCTGCAAACAGGAGGACCTCGTAATTATGATGATCAGTTTGTGTCTGGGCTTCAGGTAATGCTAATTTCCTCCCCCCCCCCCTTTTGTGTGCTTTTCTTTCTCCATGTAATGTTTAAGCAATTGACATAACTCAAGTTTTAGACATATAGTTTTATATGTTTAAGTGTTCAAATATTCTTATTCCTCGAACACAGCCTGAGCTCCAGTATGGCTGGTGGGGTCGTTCTGGAAAAATGCATGTCTTGCAATCCATTCTGAAGCTGTGGGCCAAACAAGGTCACCGCGTCCTCCTCTTCACTCAGTCGAGGCAGATGATGTGCATCTTGGAGAAGTTTCTGATGGATGAACATCACTCGTATCTCAAGATGGATGGGTAAGAATCATACTGTTAGAGGTGGTTATTGAGTGTGGGACCAGATGTTTCGTGATTGCTCGGATTACTTTGGGTTTGAAAAAAAAAAAAAAAATTGTCATTTTGATTATATTCTTCATTTTTGTTCTGCATGGAACATGGAAATTTTATATATTTTGGGTAAAGAATGCTAAATAGTTATGATATGCTGATACTTTTTTCTTTTAATCCTGTTGTCTATTTTCACTTATTATTAAATATACAGTTTATGATATAAATGAATAAAAAATTACAAATCTTTATATTACAGGACAACAGCAGTGGCATCACGTCAGGTAATGATTGACAAATATAACAACGATCCTTCATATTTTGTGTTCCTGCTCACAACAAGGGTTGGTGGCCTTGGGGTCAACTTGACAGGAGCTGACAGGGTCATCATTTTTGACCCTGATTGGAACCCTTCAACGGATTCCCAGGCACGAGAACGATCTTGGAGAATAGGGCAAACTCGACATGTTACTATTTATAGGTACAGTCTTACTAAATTTGTGTGGAACACAGGTATATGGTATATTGTGCTGAAACATTTAGTACTGGTTGACCCATTGACATTGGGATATGTGCCTGTGTGCCATGTCCACTGTGAATTTAGGTTTATAAATTTTGTTTACACATAAATGGATCCATAAGAAGTTTGTCAAAAAGGAATCAGTTGTATTTTCAGATTCCCCCCCCCCCCAATGTGTTTTTATCCATTGGATCCATCACAGAAATCACAATGCTGAAAATGTGGGTTGTGGGTTATGTAAGTAGCCAACATCTTGGGTGTGCAGTGTGTAGGCTAGGCTTGTGCAAACACCCATGAGCAGTGACAAGACTCTGTGCTGCCCCTTTGCAAAGTTTTGTGTGAATTTTTTTTTAGCCTTTTTGCCTTTTTGCAAACTTCATATTTGTCTTTTGATTTACTTTATCCAGAGGGTAATAACTTATTTTCCTTGCACATACTCCATATCACATCTCTATGTAGTAAATAACATTTGGTGATTTGTGTCATATATTTTACTTTTACGTAATCTTCAATTTTTCCTATTACAACCTGTGCTGCCAGTCACAGCAGCCAGGAATACGGTGCGCGGCATGGAAATGGCATCCTCCCCAGAACCAGCGCTCTTCCAATCACTGCTTAATCATGTTACATTCCACATTCGTTTATCATTGGGAATACTGCTAAAGCCCCCTTCTAAGCACCAAATGAGTCAAATCATACTCCAAGAGGCTTGTGCACATGTGGCAAGTCTTTTCCGTCACCCTAGCCTTTGCTCATGACAGCAAGTTCGTGTCACCTGGCCCGCGGCCATTTTGCCTGATGATGGCATGTTTACGTCACCCAGCCCTTGACCCAGATTTTTTCATGACAGGACCATAATGTCATCCGGCTCGTAGGGGTTAATGACACTGTATAATCTTAATGTCAGTATAATAATAAGGATAATGGTAATGATAATGATAATGATAATGATAATGACAATAATAATGATAATAACAACAATATAAATTTTAATAACATGGGGAGGATGCTAAAGATTCATGAAATCAGAAAATCAGAAAATCTGGTGCGGTCATTGATTGACCTTTGGTGACTGAGCACTTGTGGAGCCATCTATATGTAAACCAGATTTACAAAGCAAAACTACAGTTGCCAGTACATGTACCTAGTGCCAATGGGTTTAAGATTTGTTGGAAAATAATAAAAAAGGTGAAAGCAAACATAATTAAAGCATTTCTCCTTTTTTGCAGGCTTTTAACAGCTGGCACCATTGAGGAGAAGATTTACCACCGTCAGATTTTCAAGCAGTTCCTGACCAATCGTGTGCTGAAGGACCCTAAGCAACAGCGCTTCTTCAAAACCAATGACCTCTATGAGCTCTTCTCACTGAATGAAGGCATCAAGGAGAAGACTGAGTCATCAGCTATATTTGCTGGCACAGGGTCAGAAATTAAGGTAAATACGCAAGACAAAAATGATGAGGGTAAATCAGATGATGACAATGAAGAAACTAGCAAAAAAGGGGAAAGGCGCACAAACAAGTTGCCTCCTCCTCATCTTCCCCAAACTCCATCAAAAAGAGAGAGCAAAGCATCACACACCAGTAAGAACATTCAGAAGAAGGAGCCAAAGGACCAGAAAAAAGTAGAGGATAACAGTAAGAGTAATCACAAAACGCCCTCAAAGGAGAAGGTTGAACCAGTGGATAATAAGGTAGAAAGGATGAGAGAATTAGCAAAGCTTTTAAGCAAGAAGATTGGACAGAAAACTAGCATAAAAGAGGAAAAGAAAGATGTAATCAAAAGTCTAGAAAATAACCAAGGAATTATTACTGGTTCAGAGAGTGGAAGCGAAAGTCAAAATTGCTCTAAAATGGAGCCCGAAACAGAGTCTCAAGTAATAACTACAGAAGTAACAACAATAAAACAAGAACCAGACGACCTCAGTGAAATAGGAACAAAAGAGGAAGTTGAAAGTGTAACTAGAGAAAAGGAAGACAGCAACATAAAGATAGAAGATCTTTATAGTGACAATATTAAAAAGGAATCTGATGATGGTATCACTTCAGAAAGCAGAGAAGGGTCATTAGAAAGCTCATGTAATAGCGAGTATTTTGCCAAAAAGAGGAAGGATCGCAAGCGAGAGAGCCATTCAGATTCAACAGATGCAGACAGAAAACATGATTCTAAGGATCATGAAAGACACAGGAAAAAACATAAGAAGGAAAAGAAGAAGGACAAGCACAAGAGCAGAGACAAATCAAAGAAAAAGGGAAAGAAGTTTGAAGGGGAGAGAATTGACTTTTTGGTGAAGAAGAGGGTTTATCAGAAAACAGAGGAGGAAGAGCAGGCAGAAAGGGAAAGTGCCAAGTCACAGGACCAGTATGTACTAGAGAAGCTGTTCAAGAAGTCAGGTGTACACACAGCTCTCAGCCATGATGCCATCATGAGCAATGGCGACCCTGACTACCTCCTTGTTGAGAGTGAGGCTGAGCGTGTGGCCAAGGAAGCACTCAAGGCTGTAAGGGCATCTCGTGCTAGGTGCTTCAGACCACAGCTGCCAGCAGGGCCTTCTGAACAGCAGTCGAAGAGCAAGCCAAGATTTGGCACTAAGAAGAGCAGCATCTTCTCCTCTTCAACTGATAGTGAGGCAAAGCCACCTAAAGAGGAAAAGAAGAAGAAGGAGAAGAAACCACATGTTTTTGATGGTGGTATGGATGAAGAGGATGAAGAAGATGAAGCAGATGCAAAGACTGGGACTACTGGCTTGCCCACTTCCATCTCACCCTCCAAGAAAGGCAAGGGCTTTGGCCAAGGGAAGAGCAGCACGCTCTCGTCATCACAGCTGCTCCAAAGGATGCGTCAGAGGAACAGGGGCATGGCTATGGAATCAGAAGGGGAAGACAGTGATGGCTATGACCCAGATTACCCCTCTACTGCACCCATGGAAGAAGAGGTCACTGACCCAGAGGTCAAAGAAAACATTGACCTGCTTGCTGACATTCGCAATTTTGTTGCATTCCAAGCTAGAGTTGATGGAAAAGCCTCTACGCAGGAGATCCTAGATAGATTCAAAGAGAGGTTGCCGGCAGAACAGACTCCATTTTTCAAGGCTCTATTGACAGAGATTTGTGATTTCCAGAGAGAGGCAGGTGGCGAAGGGTTGTGGATACTGAAGGGAGAGTTCAGATAATTCATAAGTGCCCACCACTAAGTTTGTTATTGTGGCAGCTATTTTTTTTCTCTAGAGAGCCTTAAAATGTGGATGTGTATGTAATGTTTGCCTTTGTTTTGTATTTGTTTGTCATATTAAAGCTCTGGATTATTTTGTTCAGCAGCTTTAATTTATATACATACTTTGACTTAAAATTCAATAGAATACATTCCATAATATTACCATGTTGGATGTACATATCAGTATTAGTCATACTTTTTTTACTTTTGTAAATATGTATATATTGTACAGAGATGATTATGATCACATTTATAATTATATAAATAAATTAAAAGAAAATATTTCTTTATACATTGAGTTTCATAAGCCTGTACTCAGAATCTTACAAATTCTCTCACATAACTTGGAGCTCAGACTGCAAAACTCTCCTCCATATTTAGACCACTCTTGATTATGGATGCCATTTCTATTTATCTGCCTCTACCTCCTTTCTTTCTTGATACAGGTCACCATTGTGGTCTTCATGTAGCCCTAGGCACCTTCTGCTCCTCTCCAGTTGGGAACCTGCTGAGTCAGGCATGCCATCTCTCTCACAACGCTGTACCCTTCTTTCTCTCCAATGCTATCCGCCAACTCTCCCTCACCAAACTAACCCTCCCTCAATCTCTGTATCCTCCCTTTGATTCATCTCCATGTTTACCAACTTTCATGTACTCTAACAACTTTGATTGACGCTCAAAATATGGCTGTACTCCAGTGGGGTTACACCCCAAATAAACAGAACGGTGTGTACTCTGTCTCTACTGGTTGTGCTGTCTACATGCTACAAATATGTTAGGTTTTACTTGATGCCCTGCCATGTCGGAATTCCAGGCAATGAACAGGCAGATAATCTAGCAGACTCAGCCAGTATGCCCATTCCACACCCCATTTTTCACATAATCCAGCCATGGATTATTACCCTTAATTTAACTTTCCTGTATGCTCGATGTTAACCTTCTGGTCAAGTCTTGTCACCAATAAATTACATACAGTAAAACTATCAATCTCCTAGGCAACTTTTTTTTGTAAAAACAGATGCTGAGAGACGGCTGTTGCCAGCTTACGTACTGGCCATAATTGCCTTACTCCTACCTTATTTCATGCTCTGGCCCACCCCTAAGTAATGGATCCCTTTCAGCCTCACATATTCTGTTGTCCTGTCCATGCTTTACCACAGCCTGTTATTGTTATTCTGTTATTCCTCATCAATCTTCCCTACACCAACCTTCAACCTCCCAACCTATTAGACATCCTGACGGACTCCCACAATCTCTGCTTTGGAAACCTGTTCTTCATCCTCTGACACATTGATCTAATCCCCTCTTGCTTATTCTTAACCTGACCCACCCACTCACCTCCTCCACTTCTATCAATCTTTAATACCATCGTACTACTATGAGACTGACATATAACATCAAACAAGGAACCCCCCCCCCACCTCTACCCTTTTCGATACTATATCTTCCTATAGTGCTACATGACCTTGGATGTCTAGCACCTTTATTTTGCATTTAACCATTAACCATTCATAGGCCAGTATACTGGAAAGCATGTTTTAATAGCTCAGTCACAATAGAAAACAAGAACAGAAGCATTAGTATTCAGTGTAGAAGCTGACTTGCAGATTATAGAAATTAGTAGAACTGAACTTGAAAAAGTCTAGAATATATATGTAAAATATACTAAATTTGGAAATTAAGCAAAAAAAAGGAAACACACAAAATTAGTTTAACTTTTTTATTATCAGCAGATTTAAGAAAATATCACTGCACAGGTAGAAAGCTTTACACCACTTTGAAGTTCATATGCATAAAAAAGAAAAATAATTACATTTTCACTAGACTTCTCTAAATATGTAAACATATACAACCTAAGAATTGTAACTCTGTTCACCTGGCATGAAATGTTGAAAAATTAAAAATAGTATTGGTCAAATACTTCAAAATTAGTTATTTTTCTTTCCAATAAAATAAGCATAACATAATTAATGGTGGGAAGAGTTATCTAAAAAATTAAAAGAACCATGTATAACCCAAATATCTCAAAATAAATTTGCTTTCAAACTATCTGCTAAAATTATTAACATCAACATGAGAAAAAATAACTTAAATAACTTGTCTGTCTCCAGATACTGGTTAAATTTGATTTCTAATAAACTTTTTAGTTCAAAAAATAAACAAAAACAATCATGATTACAATAATGGGGGAAAAATGGGTCAATGAATACACTTTTAACATTTTTCTGCTTGTTGAGGTAAAACACTGTTATATGCTAGAGATCACAGAGACTGATTAATTACATCTTTTAATTTAATTACACAATTTTCTTCAATATATTTAGGAATCTATTCAATCAATTTCAATATTCTGACACAACAGCTGAGCACAATGAATGTAATAATACATGTTGTAATGATGAAACACATTGTACTGGTCCTCTTGTAGAAGGCTGGGGTAAGCCACAATCTGCAAGGCACCTCCAGAACCCCCTGAGCCTCCATCTGGACTTAGGCCTGTGTGGTATAAAGAACGGATGACAGCTTCTGACATGTCCATGGACTTCAAGCCTTGTAAGACAATTACAGGAGCCTGTGAACCTATCTCCTTTGGTGTGTACAAGAGAACATTGGTGAAGGCACACTCTACCACCATTAGGAGTCCACACTGTAATCTGGTTAACAGGGGTATATCCACAAGAATAACAGACCCACCCACAGGAATACTACCTGTCTCTAAAAGAACTACAATTTGTTCTAATGCTCTACAACTTGAATGAGGACCCAATGCTGTCTCTTCCCTAATGATATGTGCCTCGTCATGCTCTTCAACTACCTTGGCTACAAGGCTGTCGTCAATCCCAAGAATTTTCTTAGAAGAGTTTGTGATTTGCCACATTTCATAGAGTTCCCTGTATATCTTGAACACCCTAAGAGGGCAGAATTTAGTTGAACTGACTGTGTGGAAAGGTTTGCCCTTTATAACTTTATATTCAATTTCCTCTAGCAAGGGTGAGGTAAAGTAATACGAGGATTTTGTTTCAGCAAAATTTGTCACATTGTCTGCCCCTCTGGAAGAAGAGTTATCCTCTATATACTCTTCCAAGAATTTAACCACTATTTTGAATTTTTCCTTCACAGTATTGTTTCTTACTAATGAGGCATTGTCAATTTTGCTCCAGTCATTTTCCATAATATGTCTGGATCTGTTAACATTACCCTCAGTGATTGTCATCCACTTCGGTATAGTTGTGCAGTAATTACGATCAAAGAACAATTTTTGCCCCTTGACTTTCAGTAATTCGTTATATTGTTTCTCTCTCTCGTGCATTTTAGGAAATAGGCTGAGATTTCTTGCAATGCTGTTTTCCTGTTGCCGTTTAAAGAATTCTGAACATGTGTAAATCTGCTTCATGAATGCTTCAGGAATGTCCTCCCGTGCATACAGTGTATGGAGCATGACTCTGGCACCATAAACCTCCATGAGTTTCCCCAGCTGTTCTTTGCAGGCATCCCTCCCAATATAGCCTAGAGCCACAACATACACCTCAGAGTTACCCTGTTTGCTGGTCCCAGGTTTGTACACATGTATCTCCTGGAACAAACAGCTCAGCAGGTACATCAAACATACTGATTCACTCTCAAAGAAGGTGAACTTCTTGATGACAAGTGCCCCCCCAGTCACCAAGAGACACAGGCCAGCTATAACCTCACACAGATGCAGGACATGTGTGGTCTCCTCCTGCTCTCCAGGGTTGGCCTGGCAGTCAACACTGCCATCTGCTGTGACCAGGTGAATAGACCCCAAGGCTTTGCTACGCTCCAGGATATCGTCTAGGTTATTCCGAGCCATGAGGTCACCTGTGTTGTCCTTACCAAAGGCCCAGTTCTTGAGGGTAAGAAAGATAAAGCGGTCCTCACTTATACACTGGTCTGAAGATATCCCCTCGTAGTATGGGTTGAGTGAGTTGCCCAGCCACTGCCACTGTGAAATGAAGTATTTATCATGAAGTTTAAACAGTAAAGAGCAAGCTTAGAAAAATTCTATTTATATACAATAATACACATCTATCTATGAGCTAAACCATTAATACATCAAACAACATTATAACAAATTACTATATACAAAGGGCCAAACGAGTAGTTGTAGTAGGATGATAATTACAAATTTCATGTAATTGTGCAGCATTATCATTATCATTTTCATTATATATATATATATATATATATATATATATATATATATATATATATATATATATATATATATATATATATATATATATATATAATATATATATATATATATATATATATATATATATATATATATATATATATATATATATATATTATATATATATATATATATATATATATATATATAGAGCTACAATTGAAATTTGATGGGACAGAACAATTGTTTTGTTATAGGTGAATGGATATAGATTTTGTAGACTAAAATGAAACATGCAATTGGATCCTTGGTTTATCTAGATAATAAGTGCAAAAAAAGAAAAAAAATGTAACTGAATGATTTGATTTTTTAAAGAGTTTAATGTTTTTTCCAATGTTACGAATATGATTAGGCTTATTACTATTGCTGTCATCATTACCATTACTGACCTTCTGATCATCATAATCTTATCAACAATACTAAGAGCAATAATAAAAAAAAATCTTCCCAAGATTCATGGAAAAGGATAAACAGGTGAGATTAAATTGGAAATAAATCTTGGTGAATGAACTTTAATGTACCTATCTACATGAAAACAAAATTAATAAACTAAAATCACAGTGGACAAGGCATAATCCTAGTGTTTTCATATCAATATTCACAATAAGATCTATATTTCAGCCTTTGCAGTTGATTCATGTGAATTATTTCCCATGTGTTTGTAAACACTCTTCAACTACTTGATACGGAGGATTTTAATCGGATATAATATTTAATCTCCTTATACCTAATCAGCTGAGTTTTTTCTAGTAGGTATTTTCAATTGTTTATCCATAACAAAACAAGCATCTTGTCTTAACCAAAGTTAGTACGGTTATTTTTTTATATATTGTTCCTTGATGCTACTGAGCAGTTGGATCTAATGCATGAAATTGTTTTGCACAACCTTTGCCAAATACTAGCAATACAACCATTTAGTCTAAATATGCATTCATTATTACTTTCAACTATTACTTTCATTTAGTAACATTCCTCCAAGCAAAAAAATAAAATGACAGAGACTGCAATTTTATAATCATTGTTCAACTACAACAACATTCTTCTGATCATCTGTACATTAAAAATTTCAAAATCTGATTGCCTCAGACTGCAATTTTATGAAAGAGAAAACACCAGAAAAAAATCATATCTACAAATAAACAAAATGAAACACATTAAAACACAAAATAAAATAAAGATTAAATTAGAGGATATAATGGATAAAAGAACCCTCACTAAGCAACTAGAAAACAATAAATAAATAAAAATCATACCTTCAGGCTCCACCTATTGAGTGCCAGGTAATGGTTGAGAGCCAGAATGAAAGCCCCGGGAGCCTCACACAAGTGCACCGAGTTAAAAGGCACATGGCCCTCTTCCCCTTCCACATCCAGAGGCACAATGGGGTATGCATTCACGATCTCATAAAATTTTAGCCATGCCTGGAAGACCATAGATCGTCATCAAATTTATTTGTAAATATTTTCTGCTAAGAACAAAATAACATACTAAGTGTTTAATAAAAAAAAGTTTGACAAAGCTATACAATGGGTATTTCAAGACTGAATTTTATATATTAAAAGTTTTATCAATATTTCATTAAACATCACATAAATAAAAAGGACAAAATAATTTTAAAAATGCATTCTCACCTGTGTCACCATCTCTGGCTGTGCTCTCCGCTTAACTGCATAAGAAATTTTCTGAGAGGGGTTGGTGTTGCTCGTGTGATTATGCCAAACTGCAATGTCCTTCTCACCTAGCTGTTTTTTTACATGATTCAGTGACATTTTCATGGCTTGCAAGGTGTCATCCTGAAAAAGGGTGTTGGTGTTCATTAATTTTTGTGCTAAGGGGACCTTCTGGACAGGTATTGGCCCTCAAGTTATAGGGAGTTTCATCCTTATGAATGCATGGAAAAAATCCTCTATGAATGATAAGGCCCAAATACATTTCCTTTTAGGGGTAACAGGGGCATAACTGCAACTGTTTGTCTTAGGATTTGTAATCATCTTCATATATATATGTTCTAATGGAATCTGCAGCACTTTAGAATATGGATTACCTACTTACTTATACTGGATATGAATGGATTAGGGCAAAAACATAAATAATAAGACTGAAAAATAAATAAAAAAATTAAAAAGGGAATTCAATTATTAGAACCTCTGCACAGTTGAAATATGGCTTGTATGTGACTTCAAGTTGATACATGAGTGTGAGTTTTTAGACTGGTCCTTACTGCATTTTTTCTTGCCAAACAAACCAAACCACAAACCAGACTGTGACAACTTTCTTTGCATTGTACACATTTGAGCTTTCTATTCATTATTACATTAACATCATATACTTAAAACATAGTAGTAAAATTAACAATAAAAATTACCAAACTTTAAAGACAACAGTTTGATGTCAAAGATTAGTAGTTTTTATATAATTTTCATATTTTTTATAGGCAATGGTTAATCCCCTTAACACTAAAGGTTTTATGCAAATTTTCATCTTCCAGATAGAGACAATTAATCAGTCTGAAGAATGACATAAAAAATGAAATACAGCTCAAAAGAAGGGGAATTCTAAGGTGTACAATCAGAAAGAAAATAAATTGATAAAAAAGAATTGTAATATCAAGGCATTAACTTTTACAGACAAAAACTATGAACATTAAGGCTTATTGGCAGACTGCCCCATTAATTCTAGTGGTTGGAATTAGGTTTCTTAGAAGACAAATTGCCAAGATATTTTATTCTAACTTTCAAAAACACAATAAAAAAATTCCTCTAAATAATAAAAATTTCATCCCTTAAGCAATGAAATCACTTTCTTCCAAACATTTCCAAAAGAAAACAAACAAAAAGAAAAATATTTTCAATATCAAATAATACATTTATCTAAATTTATTCCGAAACCTTCACTCACCTTCCATACAGGAGAAGTATACATCCTATCAGCAGAAGGAAGCACCCAGTTAACCGATCCATCCTCGTTAGTGCGCTGCATAAAGGAAAACTGTTTATTGAAGTGTTCTTCAATGTCCATCTGCGCTTGGATGTGATCGGTGTACTCCAACAACGGGAAGTTCATAAACTGGGAGTCATGGCGTCCATAACTGGAAGTTAATGGTAGATTAATTAGTGTGTCCGAAGTTTCCTATATGTGACAGGTAAAATATGCCAGGTGTTGACACAAAGAAAGAAGCAATGGAATAAAAGGCCTCCTATATTAAGTTCTAAAATATGTTATATATTGATAAAAAAGGAGAAATAAAATCATATAGCTGGATTTGCTATATGTGACTTAAATTATGCCCGATTAGTGTTCCGAATTAGTGAAAAGTGTTCCCAAATCAGTCCCAACTTTTGTCATGATTTACTAAAAATACTGATAAGGGAAAGAAAGATATAGGAACAAAAGATAGATAGGTAATAACATAGGGACAAAATAATAGACTACAATAAAAGGAACAAAAATACACAAGAGAAAAGAGATTCATCAGTAACCCACCCAGCCTTCTTGAGGCCTCACCGCTCCTCGACACTCCTGGAGACAGTGCCTTTGCTGCTGGGGTCGGAAAGAAGGCGACAGCTGGAGAGCTTCGTGCTGCACTTCTCTCGCTGGGGTCGGAAGGAGAAGCCATCTCCCACACTTGCACATTCTGGGTATTGTTCCATAGTGATTTTCTTCCTAAATCAAATTCCGTGAGGGATTCCTTTTTTTTTTCTTTGTCTACGCTCGTGAGTCCTCACATGGATTTACTGCTGTCTGTCACATCATCTGAATCAACTAGTGTTTTACAAAAGAATTTCTAAATTGACATTTCTTTTTTTTCTCTTTCACCCCTTTTGCTTTCTTCTTCTTCCTTCCTCTTCATACTATAAGAGGACAAAACCTTAAGCTTTAGTTTTCTTGGCAATGGAGTCCAGCTGTGCTCGCACTTTGCTCAGGGATTCAACAGCCGTGGTGATAGCTTCTGGGCTTAACTCTAGGCTGATGTTCTCTATCTGGTCTTTTTCAGAATTGTTCACAACCTATTGATGAAATTATAATAATATAACAATGATATGCAATGATAAGGATGGGGATAGTTAATCAAAAAAGACATATAAACAAATAATCATTTTCATTAATATTAACAGATGCAAATATTATCATTATTATCATTATATAAGAACTCACAGTCATGTCCACCAAACAATGTGGCTTCTTGCTGTCCTGCGTCTCCACTCTGACATTAACATCACGTAGCTGTGGAGGAGCCGCCATGCTCCACAGACAGCCCTCTGTGCCAAAAGAAGACCTGAAAATGATTATAGCATTTCTAATAGGTGTTTTATTTTGGTATGAGTGAATGAGTGAGTGTGTGTGAGAGAGTGAGTGGTAAGTGTGTGAGCGTGAGTGTGAGTGAGTGAATAAGTGAGTGAGTGAGTGAGAGAGAAAAAACCTTCATGGAGTGAACAACTGAAAGAAATAATTTGAGTGAACTTAAGGGGAAGAGTCGTCGGTACGATAATGAAATTCGTTGTCCGATCCTGCTTACTTTAGTTTTTTAGCAAGGTCAATATTTTTTTTTACACAAAGTGCATGGGTATGTGATGCTTGTATACAAGAAATTTGATTAAAAAAGCTGCAAAAATTTTTGCGCAAAAAAAAAAAAAAAAAAAAAAAAAAAAAAAAAAAAAAAAAAAAAAAAAAAAAAAAAAAAAAAAAAAGAGCGAGATGATAGAATTAAAAAATTATGTGATGGGGTACTTATAGTGAATAGTACTGCAGTTTCCTTCTGACCAGAGTTAGTCAACAAATAGGAGTACCAAATGTAGCATTTATGTAAATCTATCTGAAACGACAATGTTTCAGTTACCTTGCAAAAAAGCGCATTTTTTTTTGTCCGAAAATCGCCATTAGTTTTTTCAGTAAAAATGTATTTGGTGGAAATAATGCATGACTTTGCTACAGTTTGTAGATACGAACTGGACGATTATTTTGCAACAAGAATTATTAAAATTGCGTAATTACATATAAAATTAACCTTACTATCATGCGTGAAAATATGATTTTGAGAAAATGGCAGTTTTTGTCATTCATCGTCATTACATCATAAAGGTCATACCAATGATTACCAAATGTGAATATCTACTTAGACAATACCTTGGCCTTTAATATGAGTCCTGTGGTAGAGGGTCAGGCCTTGTTCAGGTAATTTTAGGTCATCTTTATGTCAAGGTTAGGTTAGGTTAGGTGGGAGTGTTCTCTGAAAAGTATACTTTCAGATGTCAAGGCTCCTGGTTCCTGTCATTTACATATATTACACAATAAATCGTATATTATGCATTTCTGATATATAAAGGACATATTGTTAGGTTTTCAACAGGTTGAAAACAAAACATGTGTACTCCCGAAAACTTTATCAATCGCACTGTTCTCCTGTCCTTGCTGCTGCTGCCTGTCTGCTGAACGCAGCCTAAACTATCGTACAGCAGTATCATACCAAAGAAATTCGCAAAAACAGCCGAAAAAAAGCTGAAAAACAAGAAAAACAAAGCATGAAGCATATAGGGGTGTGGCAGCACAAGGGCATTTAAATACCCCAAACCTTTAAACCGCGGAAAGGAGGGCGTTACACATCTGGCAACCGCGCCCTGGGTGCGTCACATGGTCATGTATCAACACACAAAGTTTGAAAAAATTGTAATTTGTGAACCATACTGACGACTCTTCCCCTTAACCCTTCAGTCGCAGATAGCATCATATGAAGCAAAGTGCAATTGATAGCCAATCCCATGGAGCAGCTGGCGGCTGCTCACCCTCAGAGCTAAGCGGGCCAGGGGTTATCAGCCACCAAGTCAGTGTCCCCCTAGCGGCCTTCCAGGGCCCAGGCATGCCGCCCCACCAAAGGAGTTCAACGCTTTTAGCGCATGCTATGATCAGGCCTTCCACTCTTTTCATGCTTGCATGTACTTGCAAGGGTGTATATATATATACACAAACATATGTATTCTTATATACATACACACAGACATATGTGTGTGAAGGAGAGAAAGAACACCCAAAATTAAAAGGAATTTGTGAAACACATTGCAAAATTAACAAGGAAGGAAGGATAGAATAGATCAAATAGGATAAAAATGACATGCAATTTCGAAAGATAAATTTAGATGACATTTATACAGATAAACTAGAGACTATGACAATAAAGATAAATTAAAAAAAAAAGAGAGTTAAATGTTCTCTTAATGTACAACCCTTGCAACAATATAAAAACAAAAGAATTGGAGTATTATATATAAAAAAAATTGAAGATTTAAAACTAATCACAGAAGATTTTAATGCCCACCATGCACGTTGGAATCCTAAACCAAGAAGTAAATTAATAAACAGGACAGGCAAAAGCATATGTGAACTATCCATAATAATATAATTCTGTTAACATTAACAAGTCTAGTAACAAAAACAGACCCAAAAATGCTAAATAAACAACAATAGACCTGGCCCTAGCATTATCATCACTAAGCCACTTAGAAATAGAAACAGGTCCTAAACTATGAAGCGGCCATCTTCCACTAATCATAAATGATAGTAACTCTACTAAAATCTCTTAGTCCAGAGAAAAAAATTGGAAATACACAAAAGAAGGATGGAACAGATTTCAAAGAGAATCTTTATATACAGATATAGAAAACATAAATTCTATACATGAAATAATTCATATCTTAAAAGAGACAGGACTAAAGTGCTTCAAACTCAAAAATGAAAAATAACATAATAAAAAAACCATGGTGGAATGAAACATGGAGAGAAGTAGTGAAAATGAGAAAAAGAGCTTTTAATAAATGGAAGACAAACACAATAACAAAGAAAACCAACAAGATTACAAAATACTAGTAATAAAAGCAAAGCAGATAAAAGAAAAAGAGGCAAGGTAATCATGGGAAAAGTTTTGTACTTCCTTAGATTTTAAAATCCCTCCCAAAAGATCTGGAACTTTTTCAAAAAGCTAACAGGGAAAACAATCATAACTCAATATCCTTTAGAAGATAATGATCACCTGGTGACAGAGATGCCCCTAAAATTAGTGTTATTTAAAAATTAATTTCAAAAAGCATTAAACAAAGATCCTAAAAAGATTTTGACAGGAGAAGAAAGAATAAGATTATTAAACCTTCCAACCAATACAACAATAAATGAAAAAGTACATATCAATGAATTGAAGAAATGCAAAAAGAGATAAAACTTATGGGCCAGACAAGATACCATAAAAAATTTCATATATGCCCTTGAACAACCAACTGAAAAAACATTAACCCCTTGCCGCCAGGTGGCATGTACATACATGCTATGGCTCTTGTGGACAGAAAAACGGATGGCATCGTATCACAACCCTTCCTGCGCCACTGGCTCATCGGACAGAGTTTGTTTTTCTCCGATAAAAGCGGCTTTATTTATATAGTAAAGCTTTTAGGCAATAGCACCTAAAGTGAAGGTAACCCTGCAAATTTTATATATTATTGAAAATTATAGCAAAATAAAAGCTTTTAGGTGCCGAATGTCGCTCACAAACTACCAAATGAGCAGGGTGCAAACGAGAAGCTGCCGATGTGCGCCAACAATCCCGTGAACATGTCCACTTGCCAAACTTGGCAAGTGGACATGAAATTAACCAATACTGGAACAAATCTGAATATCCAAAAGAATTCAAGAACATCATAATCAATCCAATAAACATACCACGCAAAAATTGAGCAGATGCAGAATCCTACAGATTTATTAATAGGATATAAACCTTAAGAAAAATTTTGGATAAAATAATAACAGAGACTAAACAAACAAAAGACAAACTAGACAAAGACCTCGCGGGATTTAGATCAAACAAAAACACAGCAGAAACCCTACAAATGAGAGATTCACACATAAATAATGCAATAATAGAAAAAAATATGCATATGTATAATAATATACAATATAAAAAGTAGACTAGTCTACTTAATTAATGGTAATCATTTGATTGACACGTGATGTAAAAAAACAGCTCCCTACAGTAGTGCTGCTTGTGCTCACTACCTGGCAGCAGCTCTCCCACAGGCCGTGGGCCAATCTATTATCGGCCATACTTTGAGATCTCTGGTGAAATTACAGTTAATCCCTCTGGGTAATTGGATACGGTTCAAGAAGGGACGCCTACATGTGTATCTGAAGATATGCACACAAAAAACGACCTCTTTTCATTCTATTTCGTATACGGCATTCCATTTCATGAAATGAAATTACATTACGTGTTTTCCCCAGACCCCTGTCTAGGGATTAAAGAGATAGTAGAAAACATTGGGCTTTAGTTTTCGGGTTTGCATGGATACCCTGGTTTTGGGACTTCATCGCTGGAGGTTGCATTGCTCTAGGTAACAAAAACCGTTGTTAGTATTAAAACCTATTACAAAAAAGAAAGAAAGAAAAAATCTTGCATAATGTGGCCGGCTGCCTGCTCCCACTCTTCCTTCAGATTCAACATCCCATTACAAATTTTTACTGACAGCACAAATGAAACTAATATTGGAACTATCGCTCTAAGGAAGCACTCAGCAACATAACTAACTGACACATTACTCACATTACGAGTTTTATTATGAGTTAACAGGTACACATTTAAATTCCCAACACTCCTTTTAAAAATTCCAAATCT